AATAATAATTGAAATAATAATAAAAATAATAGCAGTAGAATAATAATAATTGAAATAATAATAGAAATAACAACAGAACAATAACAATAGAAATAATAGTAATGGAACAATAATAACAGAAATAATAATAATAGAATAATAAAATAGAAATAATAGCAACAGAACAATAATAAAAATGAAACTGAAAACACAATATGAACATCCTTCGCCATTCCAACCACATTTATCACGTTGAAAATTGCCAAGTTCGACAAAATGCACAGTCTCCGCAAAATTTCCACCGAACATGCCGTTTGCACTCGAATAAAGTTCGATCCTTCCCCTTCAATTAAAAAAAAAAGAAACTCGGCTGCGATTTTTTCCCGCGAAGTTACAGCACGTTAAAGCAACCCCTGCATTTTCGTCGAAGAAAAACAACTCTCCGCGGCAAATCGTCGTGGGTCGACGACTGGGTGCATCGAACTTAAAATCCATAAACGTCATCTTGAAGCAGAGGTTACGAGCTCTCATTTAAAAGCAGAGTGATCGCCCTGCGACGATATTTCGCGAAGTTATCGAAAGTCGAACAAAGTCAAACTTGGCCAATTCTCCTCCAAAATTTGTCCGCGCTACAATTTTTCCGAGCAGCTTAACACGTTCCGTGCCACGTGTACCATAGATGGTACACGCTTGCATGTTTACTTAGTGAACTGAACAAATTGTTTACAAGAAATTTAGAACCGAAGAATCAATTTCCACCGCAAGAATGGGCGTTGATAAGTTTTTGTTACGTTGTTATGTGTACGAGAATTAATAATTGCACGTAATACATCAAGTTTTAGTAAAATATCAAAGTGTGAAGATTCGAGTAAAAAAAGCTCGGCACGGAACGTGTTAAATCTCGCGTCGCGACGTAGACAAGCGACTAAAGCGAGTATCGCCGATGCGATACGCCAATGCGTGAGCGAGCGAGCGAGCGTCGTCGGCGAACCAATCGACCGGCTAACAGGTTAACGCGCCAGTTCCCACCTCGAGGATTTCGCGGGAACGACAATTTCACGGGCCGGGGGCAGGCGCGAATTCTGCGAGAAAAATATTGAAGCGGAATAGTTGAGGAGCGAGGGAGCCGGCCGATCCTTTCTAAAAGGGGCCCGCCGCGGCGGGGAGGCTCTAGGCGGAGGGGCCGGATCTACGCTGCTGGTTCTCACAGTTACGTGAATGTCGGGCTGGAACCGCGCGCATAATTAAAGAACAAGGGAGATCGTTCCCTCCTGCCGGCCGATATTTCGGTCTGACGCTCCCGAGACGGGATTACGGCATACGTCTGGAAACAATGCTCGGCGTTGCGCGATCCCCGTTGCGAGTTGCGAGGCGACACGCGAGCTGGAAACAATGCGCCGCTCGTTTAAGCCGCCCCCCGAAACGAAACCTGTCGCCGGCTCGACGACCAATAATCTGCTCGAAACTTTTCAAGACCATTGGACAGTGCTTATTGGAAGTCTTTGCGAAGTATCTCTTCCGGCGCCAACGAACCTTTCGCGACGAATCTTCTTGCATTCGAGGGGATGCACTTTTCAGCCGTGATGCAGTTACTTTTTTTCGTTGAGGGATATTTGGGATTGGCAATGTTGTGCACTGTTTAATTTCATGTAGTGAAATTTGAAAGCTGAATTTGATTTAATTTGAAAGCAAAATTCAATTTAATTGAATTTATTTAGTAATAATGATGGAATAATAATTATAGTAATAATAGAATAATAATGGAAAGCTAATGATAATGGAGATAATGATAGAAATAATATTAGACTCATTGAGAAGTATCTAGAATTGGCTGAATCGTGTTTAATTCAATTTAACTAAATTTATTTAGTGATGATAATTGAATAATAATAATAGTAATAAGAGAATAATAATAGAAAGCTAATGATAATGGAAATAATAATAGAAATAATATTAGACTCATTGAGAAGTATCTAGGATTGGAAATATTGTGTTTAATTCAATTTAACTAAATTTATTTAGTAATGATAATTAAATAATAATAATAATAGTAATAAGAGAATAATAATGGAAAGCTAATAATAATAGAAATAATAATAGACTCATTAAGAAGTATCTAGGATTGGAAAAATCGTGTTTAATTCAATTCAAAAGCAAAATTTAATGTAACTTGAAAACACAATTTAATTTAACTTGATTTATTTAGCACATACAGACCAAATGGACTCTTAACTTTTCTACAAAAATTCAACATAATAACGATAACACTAATAATAGTACTAATAATACCAGAATACTAATAACAGTAACAATAATAGAATAATAACAGAAATGAGAATTGAAACAATATAATAACAACATAAAGCAACCACAAATAAACGCAATATCGTGGAAAGCAGCATTTTAACGTTACTTCGGTACATTTTCATTCTTCGCAACTGAGTAAGAATCACGAAGGTATAGATTATTGTACGCCGTCTGGGGAGCTCGTTAGAGTGCCTCTTCATTGAAAAGTATCGATTGTCGTCTCGCGAGGCCGGTGCTACCGGGGTAACACAAACGAGAGTCTAGTCGACAAGTGGCGTAAGCCGGGAACGACGAAAAATGAGTTAATTACAGGAACAGTTGATATTAAAAGTCCAGTTGTTTTATTTACCAATTAAAATTGCGTATATTTTCTTTGACGTTAACGCAAAATGAGGCTTGTGTTTCTTCATGGTAAAAATATAAAGCGATTGCAACATTATCTGGAGTACTGGATTAATGGAGATTAATTTTACGATAATTGTCATACAAGTCACGTTCTTTTTTTTTACACGGAAGAGATATCATTCGGTTCAATGGAACAATGGCCCCCGATTGTTTGTGACGATTTCGATTGTTATACGATGCGATTCCTTGAAACTATGATATCATAATCATGATTTTTTCACGTTCTTTTTTTACGGTATAATTACAATATAATTTACAACGTACATATAATACAACATATGACAATATACATACAATTTGCAACATACCACAATAATATTTTTTTAACAATATAATTCTCGATATTTTTCTTACAATGTAATTAGTATAATTAGAATATAATTCATAATATTTTCCTTACAATATAATTAAAATATAATTCTCAATATATTTGTTACAATATAATTAGAATATAATTCACAGCATATTTTTTTACAATATAATTAGACTATAATTCTCAATATTCTTCTTACAATATAATTAAAATATAATTGCCAATATGTTTGTTACAATATAATTACAATCTAATTACAATATAATTCTCAATATTTTTGACACAATATAATTACAATATAATTCTCGATATTTTCCTTACAATACAATTATAATATAATTCTCAATATTTTTCTTACAATATAATTAGAATATAATTCCCAGTATTTTACTTTTATATAATTACAATATAATATAATTACTTTATTTATTATAATATAATTACAATACAATTACAATATAATTCTCGATATTTTTCTTACAATACAATTACAATATAATTCTCAATATTTTTCTTACAATACAATTACAATACAATTCTCAATATTCTTCTTACAATATAATTACAATATACTTCTCAATATTTTTCTTACGATACAATTACAATATAATTGCCAATATCTTTCTCGCAATATAACTCTCCTGAATTTCTTCCGAACTATAACACAAATGTTCCATCCCGACAATAATCGTCCCCCCTGTCGACTAGCGACCCATAAACGAGGCATCCAGACGTCCACCAAAATGTCTACGCAGAATGAAAACTATCGGAAACCTTCCGTACAACTAAATTAAATTTCTCTAGCCGCGCCATCCGAACATGCGTCATTGCATAAGCCTGTCGCTTATCCAATTACGGTGCAAGAACGTCCGCGTTTGTCATCGGTATAAATATGTTTGCGAGCAGGTGAGAGCGCCGATAGGAATGCAATCAAACACCCCCACGGTTCTCATCAATGACTATCGGTTATCGATCGATAACGCCTCGCATGTGTCGGTTGTTTCAACAACGAAATTCTCTCTCTCTCTCTTCCTCTCTCTCTTACTCGCTCGGTGCATCATCGAAGAACACCGGCCGATTACGATTCGATTCGATTCACGGCCGCGCAACTTTCTCGCATTTTGTCGCCGGCTCGGCGAGGGTTAATGCTACGGGCACGAGTTAACGAGCCCGAGTCGCGCGGAGAGAGCACATAATGGGAACCGGGGCCCGACGAGACGGGACGCCCAACAATGGCTTCTGTGTTTGTACGTGCCAGGTCTGTTACATAACAGACCGAAACTATGGAAGCAGAGCAACGGTGAGGTTGCTCATCGATCGGTAACCTTCGGGTCGAGAGCGCCGCCAAACGCGGGCGGCTCGTGGTCGTGGTCGTTGACTACCGGGAAACGTTCCAGACTCGGCTTAACTCGTTCCGATTCCGAGGAGATCGAAGCCGCTTGCGGAAACAACGCGGATCTCCACCGCACGGCCGATCTGCAACGATGTTTCGTTAAAATGTAGCGTCGCGTGCGCTGATTTGCTGCGTTCTGTTTCTCGGTGCTGCATTTCAACCCTTTGCAGTCGAGCGGTGACTCGGCGGAATGGTCGTATCGAGTTTTAAAATAATTTTGATGCTTACGAACTTGCTAAAATAATGTTAATATAATTATATATTATACAAATAATTATGTGATATAATTATATATTAGAGAGAGATATTATATATATTATTTTGTGATTCGTGCATCAGTTACACTTTTATCAGCTTTTGAAATACGGGACAATTACATTAATATTATTACTATAATATTTTTATTATATATTATTATTATTATTATATATTAATATTAATATTAATATTATATATATAATAATATATGTATATAATATATATATAATAATATATATAATATATATATATAATAATATATATAATATATATATGATAATATAATAATAATATATAATAAAAATATTATATAGAGTTACATTTTTTCAATCGAATACGTTGAATTTTCATTTCATTCTTAAACTATGAGTTCCGTGGAGTTCGATGGTCGTTTTGATCGCATTCCGAAGGGAAAAATTTGCCGAAATTAATTGTTAGAAACGTAAGTCAGATAAACACGTCTTTGATCCTTGAATTGCTTTAGTAAAGTGTATGTAACAACAAAATGTTGAAACGATTTGCATAAGGTTCCGCAGTTGCACGTCACGCTAGAAGGGACACGGACTTCGATTTCACGCACGTTACCTTGTCAATTTCACAAAGGAGCGTGGGTGATGCGAGTCATTACCTCTAGGTGCAGCGCTATTATAGTGAAAAAGGAAGTCGGTCAAAGAAATTCAATTTCTTAACCAAATTTTGGGTGAATTGAAGCCTCATAAAAATTTACCATAGTTACGACAGGTCAAATTGTGTACTTATTTTCGCACTAATATCGTTCTTTAAAAATACGATTAGGACTATCGAAAGATAAGACTTCGCTCTTTAAAATGAGCCTAAGTGCATCGCCGTACGATTTTTTTTCACGATGTTACAGCAGGTCAAATTGCGTAGAAGCCTGTTTTATTATCGAGAAAAATGGCTCCTTTACCTTGGCGCTAAATTTTTAGAACAAATTATCGTTACTTAAAAATACGATTAGGGATATCGAAAGATAAGACTTCGCTCTTTAAAATGAGCCTAAGTGCATCGCCGTACGATTTTTTTTCATGAAATTACAACAGATCAAATTTCGTAAGAGCCTGTTTCATTTTCGAGCAAAATGGCACCTTTACCTTGGCGCTAAATTTTTAGAACAAATTATCGTTACTTAAAAATACGATTAGGGATATCGAAAGATAAGACTTCACTCTTTAAAATGAGCCGGAGTACATCGCCGTACGATTCTTTTTCACAAAGTTACAGCAGATCAAATTTCGTAGAAGCCTGTTTCATTTTCGAGCAAAATGGCACCTTTACCTTGGCGCTAAATTTTTAGAACAAATTATCGTTACTTAAAAATACGATTAGGGATATCGAAAGATAAGACTTCACTCTTTAAAATGAGCCGGAGTACATCGCCGTACGATTCTTTTTCACAAAGTTACAGCAGATCAAATTTCGTAGAAGCCTGTTTCATTTTCGAGCAAAATGGCACCTTTACCTTGGCGCTAAATTTTTAGAACAAATTATCGTTACTTAAAAATACGATTAGGGATATCGAAAGATAAGACTTCACTCTTTAAAATGAGCCGGAGTACATCGCCGTACGATTCTTTTTCACAAAGTTACAGCAGATCAAATTTCGTAGAAGCCTGTTTCATTTTCGAGCAAAATGGCACCTTTACCTTGGCGCTAAATTTTTAGAACAAATTATCGTTACTTAAAAATACGATTAGGGATATCGAAAGATAAGACTTCACTCTTTAAAATGAGCCGGAGTACATCGCCGTACGATTCTTTTTCACAAAGTTACAGCAGATCAAATTTCGTAGAAGCCTGTTTCATTTTCGAGCAAAATGGCACCTTTACCTTGGCGCTAAATTTTTAGAACAAATTATCGTTATTTAAAACCACGATTAGAGTTATCGAAAGATAAGACTTCGCTCGTTAAAATAAGCTTAACTCCATCGCCGTGCGATTATTCTTCACGAAGTTACAACGGATCAAATTTTACGTGCTTCATTTCCGCGAAAAGTGACACCTTAACTTTCGCACAGAATTTTTACGACAAACAGATCGTTTCTAGAAATCTGATTAGGCTTATTAAAAGCTGAGATTTCGCTGCTTCAAACGAGTTTAACCACGCCGCCGTACGATTTTTCGCTGATGCCGGTCTCGGATTATAATCGCGGGTCGCGTGGCTCGCCTCCGGCTTAATACAACGAGGCACGGCAATTTAGGGAATCGGGCGGTAAAACAAGTAAACGGACGCGAATCGAGGCATTGATTCGTGAAAACGAGTCGTTGCTATTGTTACGAGGGTATCGATCGGCCCTCCGAATTGGGTTAAACGCCGTCGAACAACGTCCGCCGAATTTACCAGTCCATCAAGTATAATTATCGCGGCGCGTCGGTCGATTGTTAATCAACGAACACGCTGGCCCGGGCGCTTGTTCATACAATTATAATGTTTCATTTGGCTCGTTTGTCCCCGTGAACCGGCGACAAATCGAACCATTCGCGTGGGCACCGTCGTTTTACAACAACGCCGCGGCCGCGTAACAGATTCCGTTGCGTCACCGGTGACTAGAGCGCGTGAAATCACCGATCCGCTCGATCCTCGGTCGTGTTTAACTGTAATTAGAGCGGCGCATCGTCGTGCCTGCTGTTAATTGGCAACGCGAGCCGAACAGCTCGCGGAATAATAATCCGCTTAGCTGTGCTACTCTGTGACTCGTCTCGGGCCGGAAGCGAAACGATTCTCGCGAAAAATATCGAACCTCGATAAATCAATTCTACGATCGAAGCGCTGTTTATATCCGTAGGCATATTATCGCATGGCTTGTTGCTTTATCGCGGAATCCGATTTTATGAAGCTGACCTAAAGTGCTTCAATTCTTCTGGCACAGAAACGATTTGCAAAATACAGTTCTTGGAAACTCAATGTTAAGTGCATAATTATCAGAAATATGTTTATTATTACCGGGTAATCGTTTAACATCAGATCGATCGTTTTATCTGGCAGGAATGTTAATTATGTTAAAGGGGACTCTGATAAATAAATCATCTTATAATTCCCGAGAAGAATTCCACAATTATCACAAATAATTATCACAAATAATCGCGAAAGATAAAATAGCACGTTAATAGAAATGATATTTCAAATAATTTGTGACATAATCGCTTGAAATACGCCGTCTGGGCGTGGTCTGTGCCCTTTGGGCGTGGTCTCTCCTAAGTAGACGTGTTCTATGTCCTCTGGGCGTGGTCTGTGTTGACAAAGCGTGGTCTATCCCAAGTAGGCGTGGTTTATGCCTCCTGCAAAGCGTGGCCTTTACCATGTGGGCGTGATATGTCTTGACAAGGCGTGGTCTATGCCCTCTGGGCGTGGTCTATGCCCTGACAAGGCGTGATCTGTCACAAATAGGCGTGATTTATGCCCTGACAAGGCGTGGTCTACAAGGCGTAGGACGGTGTAGGCGTGGTCTACACCGTCTGAACGTGGCCTGCCACGAGTAGACGTGTTCTTTACCATCTGGGCGTGGTCTGTCGCGAGTAGGCGTGGCTCCGTAGCTACAGATCGCGTCAGAGAGCATTTCTCCGTGTCCCACGAAGCGAAACAAGTTCGCAGATATTCCGCTCTCTGTATCGCCAGAGATCGGGTATCTGTTCCGGGAAGATCTCTCTCTCGAGAAAATATTTCTTCGAAACAGGATACCGTTTCGCGAGTGTCTGAAATCGCGGCCGTTTCCCATCGAGTGCGCATCTTGACGTAATGCGCGACAACGAACCGGGGCTTCGCGTTGATTACGTGCCGACAGTCGCGTTGCGCAACGAGATCGTCGGACGCAGAAGATCTTGAGCGACCGAGGAGTGCCGCATCGGATCCGGACCAACGGGAGGAAGCGGGAGCGAACGATCGTCCTCGGGATCGTGATCGGGAATGACGGCGCCTCCGCTCGGGCTGATGGAACGACCAGAAGAAGACGTTCCAGCGGTGGCGCGAGGATGACGCCGACAAGGACGGTGGTCGGGTTGTCGAGGCTGCTCGTCCTCGTGCCTGTCACCGTCTGCGCGACCATTTCCTACGCCAGCCAGGAACCGCCGCGTTGCCAAGACCGAACGCCACCCCCTCGTACGTATCACCCACCCTTGAGGGTGTATTACAGTGTGAGCGACGTTTTTTTTCGGATTTTCTTTTCACGAAGATACTGCGACACCTTTCGCTGTCGAATTTACAGGCGTTGTTTATACTGGTTTCAAGTACTTTTATAAATTTTTCTGGTAAATATGTTTAATAATAATAATAGTTTAATATTTATTTATAACAATAGTTTAAAATATGTCGGATTTGTGGCGTTGGTCGATTCGAAACGTAATCCAGTTTGGAAATCATTGTTCCATGGTACCCATGATTGCAGTTATTTTGTTCGTCCGGAATGAAAAAACGTGTAAGATTCTTGATTAGTATGAATTTTTTTAATAAATCAGTACTAGAACCAAAGAGAATAATCGAAAATTTAGAAAATAACGACGTCTCGAAATTTGATTATCGATTTTGTCTATCGATGTGTCAATGTTAACTTTAAAGTGCCGTAACTTTGCGTAGAAAAATCGCAGTCGCGTTTATTTTTTTTTAAATTAAAGGGGAAGGATTGAACTTTATTCTACTGTAAACGGTATGCCCGGAAAAAATTTGACACAGTTATGACACAAACATTTCGTCAAACTTGGAATTTTCCAATACGACAAACATAGCTTTACATTTAAATGATTACAGTGATGATGGTGCGACAAACTTAAAATTGGGAAACAGTATTTTAAAGTAGAGGTTTCAAGCTTTAATTTAAAAGCAAATTCATCGTCCTACGATGATTTATTCCGAAGTTATCGTTTGTTGAAGTTGCCTGATTTTTATCCAACATTTTTCTGTGTCACATTTCTTTTGAACACTGAATGGGCGTCTGAGTTTTGAAGGTAATTCGTTAGGTATTTTTTGAGATATTATGGGTACCATCTTGAAAATAGCTTCGAGAAAAACGTTCATGCTATGAATCATAACATTTACGATATTTAATAATGATTCACGACAATTCATAGCATTCATATTATGAATCACACGAGAACTCACAACTTTGTTAATTTAAAAAATTCATAGGTACTGTTTCGTAGCCGCATTCTCGAAACTGTATGCTTCGAGAGAATGTAATATAATCGATTTGTCAAAGGTTCACACTAGAATACGCCCTTAGATCTAAAATCTTCCCGAATTTCCCCAGCTTTCTCGTTGTTGTTCCGATCCGGTACGAAATGCCACACTCGATCAACGGCAATCCTCTCGAAGAACAGTAGAACGAGCACGATTTGGAATTTCCGCGAAACCGGATAGCCTAAGCTCCTCCGATTTCTTATCGGATTCGCGCTGGATCATCGGATTCGAACGATTGATCGACAAAGCTGAAACGTGTGCTTATCTTTTCGTTTTTTTATTCCAGAGACCTTGGCGAAGTGTCGATACGACGACGACTGCATGAAGAATGCATACTGCTGGAATCAGGAGGCCTGTCTCTGCAAAGACGACTATATCGTCCACAAGAATGGCACGGACACCGTTTGTCTAAAAGGTAAAAACAATAGTGATAGCTTCCAGCGTGACAAAGAAAACGATAAGGAAAAAGTACCTATTATTGAAACATCGTTGAAACACGGCAAAATTCGACTGACGATAACTCCGCGAAAAATCATCGTAGAATAACGACTCTTCTTTTAAATTAAAGCTTGAAACCTATACTTTAAGATGTTGTTCCTTGATTTTAATTTTGACGCATTGTCATCGCTGAGAAAAAATGACGAAGTCGGTGCATTTCGTCGAACTTGGTAATTTTCAGTATGTCAAACGTGACGTCGCATTTAAATAGATACAGAGGTAAGGATGCGATAAGCTTAAAATCTAGATACAGTGCGTGAAAGTAGAGGTTTCAGGCTTTAATTTAAAAAAATGATCATTACCCTACGGTGATATTTCGCGGAATTATCGTCAGTCAAAGTTCATACCTTCAATATGACAAACATAATCCCATATTTGAAGGGTTACTGTGGCAAGGGTGCGTCAAACTTAAAATCGAAAAACGGTGTCTCGAAGTAGAGATTTCAAGCTTTAGTTTAAAAAAAGAGTCATCGTCCTACGATGATTTCTCGCGGAGTTATCGTCGGTCGAATTTGCCCAATTTTTCCCCAAAATTCGTCTATGCTATCATCTTCTTGAGCAGTAAATGTATAGTTTATCAAAAAATAAACTAAACAAAATAACAAGAGAAAATCGACTATCTTTCGAAAATTAAATTCTCTCCGGTTCCCGCTTACTCTGCAACATTCCAGCTGAAATCTAAAAGTAACACCGTTCGATGAAATTTCTCTAAAAAGTTCTTCGATTTCAACGCAACCGAGTCACTTCGGCCGACTGTGGGCTGTCGCAGGCCTCGACCTTGATGCGGGTCGACGTGGCCGTAGCCTGAGCCAAAATTCCCGGCGGTAATTTCCTCGTTAAATCCCTTCCGGCCCTTTAATCTCTCCGGCTCGACAATTCGACGAACCGAGAATTATGATCATGAACGCGACACGGGAAGAACCGTGCTTGAGCGATCGTCCCTTTGTCCCGACAAACGCGCGGGCACAGAGTGGATGCTGGCGGTTCGAAAAACGTCCCGATTAATCGTGGTGGCCGCGGCGAGTTGTAGAATCGGTGTCGCCGACCTCGGAAACGTGATTCCACGGGGATCCCCGTTCGCTCGTATTCCTAGCCGCGTCCCTTTCTCACGGCCTCCCGGCTCTTCGAGCGTGTCGTTGCTCGTGCTCGCCGAACCGACAAAAATTAAACCATATTTCCCTCTCTACCGTCTCGCCGCGCCGGCCGACCAGCCGGCGGCCGGATTCGCCGTCGACGGCGGATCTGCCGGCGACGACGAGAACGCTCCGCTCTAACGAAAGAACGTTTCTGTTTCAGTGGCGAACGCCATAGGGGACCCATGCGAGGCGGATATTCAGTGTCGCGTGACCTTCGCCCCGTTCTCCGAGTGCCGAGAAAATATCTGTCAGTGTTCCGACGGCTCTCACTACGAGATGGGACGATGCTACGAGTCCGTCGGTGAGTCGTACACGCCCGGCTTCCCGTGTTTCCACGTTCGGCCGCGAGAACGCCGAGCCGTGACTCTGATTTTCTCATGATCTAAGCCGTAACAGACCTTGACACGATCGGGACCTACGATATCTTGTCGACGAGCGTGTTAACTCAATTAACAGGCTTACGACCGCCTGTTGTATTCGTGACCCAGTCTATACCTTCGGTTGACTTTTGCTATTTCGATTCTTGGCGGGCTTATGGTTGTTCTTTATTGGACGCTGGATAGCGTAAAAAGATGCCATGGAGATGTATTTCAGATTTATTTCAGACCTGCAGGACGTTTGGGATGTCTTTGAGATGTCCGATGAATGGTCTGCGAACGACTTCCAAACGTCTTTTGTTACGAAAGTGGACGTCTTGTTTCAGACGGCTGTTTGGAGACGTCTTTGAAACGTCCGACAAATGGTCTGTAAACGACTTCCAAATGTCTTGTGTTACAAAAATGGACGTCTTGTTTCAGGCGCCTGCCTCTGGACGTCTCATTTTAGACATTTGTTTCGGATGATATTATTTCAGAACGTCTGTTTTGGAACGTCTTTAAGACGTCCGATAAATGATATGAAAACGACTTCTGAACGTCCTGTGTTACAAAAGTGGACGTCTTGTTTCAGACGTCTGTCTCTGGACGTCTTATTTTGGATATCTGTTCTGAATCGTATTATTTCAGACGTCTGTTTCGGGACGTCTTTGAGACGTCCGACAAATGATCTGAAAACGACTTTCGAATGTTTTATGCTACAAAAGTGGACGTCTTGTTTCAGACGTCTGTTTGGGGACGTCTTTCAAACGTCCGACAAATGATCTGAAAACGACTTCCGAATGTTTTATGCTACAAAAGTGGACGTCTTGTTTCAGACGTCTGTTTGGGGACGTCTTTCAAACGTCCGACAAATGATCTGAAAACGACTTCCGAATGTTTTATGCTACAAAAGTGGACGTCTTGTTTCAGACGTCTGTTTGGGGACGTCTTTCAAACGTCCGACAAATGATCTGAAAACGACTTCCGAATGTTTTATGCTACAAAAGTGGACGTCTTGTTTCAGACGTCTGTTTGGGGACGTCTTTCAAACGTCCGACAAATGATCTGAAAACGACTTCCGAATGTTTTATGCTACAAAAGTGGACGTCTTGTTTCAGACGTCTGTTTGGGGACGTCTTTCAAACGTCCGACAAATGATCTGAAAACGACTTCCGAATGTTTTATGCTACAAAAGTGGACGTCTTGTTTCAGACGTCTGTTTGGGGACGTCTTTCAAACGTCCGACAAATGATCTGAAAACGACTTCCGAATGTTTTATGCTACAAAAGTGGACGTCTTGTTTCAGACGTCTGTTTGGGGACGTCTTTCAAACGTCCGACAAATGATCTGAAAACGACTTCCGAATGTTTTATGCTACAAAAGTGGACGTCTTGTTTCAGACGTCTGTTTGGGGACGTCTTTCAAACGTCCGACAAATGATCTGAAAACGACTTCCGAATGTTTTATGCTACAAAAGTGGACGTCTTGTTTCAGACGTCTGTTTGGGGACGTCTTTCAAACGTCCGACAAATGATCTGAAAACGACTTCCGAATGTTTTATGCTACAAAAGTGGACGTCTTGTTTCAGACGTCTGTTTGGGGACGTCTTTCAAACGTCCGACAAATGATCTGAAAACGACTTCCGAATGTTTTATGCTACAAAAGTGGACGTCTTGTTTCAGACGTCTGTTTGGGGACGTCTTTCAAACGTCCGACAAATGATCTGAAAACGACTTCCGAATGTTTTATGCTACAAAAGTGGACGTCTTGTTTCAGACGTCTGTTTGGGGACGTCTTTCAAACGTCCGACAAATGATCTGAAAACGACTTCCGAATGTTTTATGCTACAAAAGTGGACGTCTTGTTTCAGACGTCTGTTTTTGGATATCTGTTCTGAATCGTATTATTTCAGACGTCTGTTTCGGGACGTCTTTGAGACGTCCGACAAATGATCTGAAAACGACTTTCGAATGTTTTATGCTACAAAAGTGGACGTCTTGTTTCAGACGTCTGTCCCTGGACGTCTTATTTTAGACATCTGTCTCGGATCGTATTATTTCAGAACGTCTATTTGGGGACGTCCTAGAGACATCCTACAAATGGCCCATAAACGACTTCCGACCGTCTCGTGTTACAAACCTCAACCTCTTGTCTCAGACGTCTGTCTCTGGACGTCTCGTTTCAGACGTCTGTTTCGGATCGTATTATTTCAAAACATCCGTTCGGAGACGTCTTTAAGACGTCCTATAAACGGCCTGCGAACGTCTTCCAAGCATCTTGCGTTACAAAACTGAACAACTATCGAGCAAATTTAGCCAACTTTTATCAAAAATTTTTCTATTCAATTTATTGCTACAATCTTCTCGAGCAGTGCAATTAGTATTCGGTGTGAAGTAATTCGTCGTTATCGAAAGCCGAACTGTCGGATAACGTTCTGATGAATCGTGTTCGAAGTGAAGGGCGTGTTAGGGGCACGGCACGCTGATTCTTTGCCGTCCGCGTCTTTGGGTAGCTCGAAGCGAAAGTTTTCAAACATCGTTCCGACAGAACGCGAACGAAAGCGTGTCCAGGAGAAAAGTTCAGGGTTGCGATTCGGTGGCTCTGGGAGCCGGGCATTCACGGCGTTCGTTTCCAGGTCTGGGAAAGTACTGCAAGACGAGCCACAATTGCTACATCAAAGACAGCTACTGCGTGACGGGATTCTGCGCGTGCAGCTACAATCATCACCCGAATCCTCGTCAAGACGGCTGCATACTGAGCAAAGGTGAGTATCTCTCGTTAACGTGTTTGCTATTAGATTATGTAAGAAGTCTGTTCGCGAACCTCTGTCGCTTAGGTAAAGACAAGGAAAATTGCACGAATACAAAGCGGACAGTTAAGATGAATTTTGAAATATGTTTGTATAGGGATATTTCTATGCAACTTAGCTTAAACGAAAGCTGGAAGTGTCTACTTCAAGATAGAGTAGATTAGATTTCAATAGAACGACGAGATCGTTTTGAAAAATTAAAAGTAATCGACCTTTGACATCATGGGGTTTACAAGATTTAAAAGGGAAAGTTAAGATGGATTTCAAGATACGTTCCCGTAGAGCTGTTTCTATGCAACTTAGCTGAAATGAAAGCTGGGAGTATCTACTTTTAGACAGAGTAGATTAGATTTCAACAGAATGACGAGATCATTTTGAAAAATTAAAAGAAATCGACCTTTGACATCGTGGGGTTTACAAGATTTAAAAGGGAAAGTTCAGATGGATTTCAAGATACGTTTCCGTAGAGCTGTTTCTATGCAACTTAGTTTAAATGAAAGCTAGAAGTGTCTAGATTGAGATAAGGTAGATTAGATTTCAATAGAACGACGAGATCGTTTCGAAAAATTAAAAGGAATCGATCTCTGACATCGTGGGACTCACAAGATTTAAAAGTAAAAGTTCAGATGGATTTCAAGATAGGTTCCCGTAGTGCAATTTCTATGCGACTTAGCTGTAATAAAGTTGGAAGTGTCTACTTCAAGATAGGGTAGATCAGATTTCAATAGAACGACGAGATCGTTTCGAAAAATTAAAAGGAATCGACCTCTGACATCGTGGGACTCACAAGATCCGAAAGTAAAAGTTCAGATGGATTTCAAGATACGTTCCGGTAGTGCAATTTCTATGCAACTTAGCTGAAATGAAAGCTGAAAGTGTCTACTTAAAGATAGGATAGATTAGGCTGAAATTGTATAATGATACGAGGCAACGCGAACGGATTTATTACACAACCTAACAGAATATCCGTGTAACGACTTCGACAGAGCTCGGCGACCATTGCGAGCACGATTACGACTGCGTCGCGGAGTACGCGAGGTGCGTCCTCGACAGCTGCACCTGCAGCGTGAATCACGTGGTGTCGGCCGATCGCAAGCACTGTCTGAAGGCTGCCAATTCGGTGGGCGCACCGTGTCAAGAGGACTCTCAGTGCCAGCTATTCCTGAAGGACGCGAAGTGCGGCGGTGACGGCAAGTGCGTCTGCCTCGACTACTTCCATCAGCGGGGCTCCGAATGCTTCAAGGACGTCGGTGAGTCCTAGCGAGCTCCCAAGGAAGTGCAGTAAAACACAGTTTACGCGAACTCTGCGGAAGGAGACATCCAGTTCACATAACCGGATGGCTTCGTATAATAGGAGCGCGCTGATTATCTCCGCTGCTCGCAACTTTGCGTTCAAATAACCGTCGTTCGCGTTCAGGCAAGCATACCGAGTGTTCGCGTTAAATCTAGCCGGTGTTTCTTCCTCAAAATGGCAAACGTTAGAATAAAGGTTACACCGTTTTCTGCGTGCAATGCAATGGTATCTTTATATTTTTTTATCTGCATTACTTTTCGTTCGAATTCATTCGGGTATGTCATAATATGATCTTCAAGGTCACGCAAGGTCAAGTGTAGGCATTCGTGCACAAAGAAATCATATTGAACGTGTCCTCCTCGAGTCGAGGTTACTTGAAATGTTTAATACGACCTTTTTGCGCATGAATGTTTACATTTGATCTTGTGCGACCTTCAAGGTCGATTCCTGACGATTTCTGAGATCATTTCGAGCAACTTTCTCCTTTGCGCAAATGCAATCCGTGGCTTCGTTTACGAGTTATTAATGAAAAATGCTAGTCAATGAGCGGCGAGATCAGCTGGCGCGCGAAGCCCAGCACATTGGCTGGGCCGTCGCGTGTCAGCCGAGCTCGCCGCTCATTGGTCGGTGTTTTTCGTTAATAACTCGCAAACGAAGCCGCGGATTGCATTTTCGCTAAGGAAAAAGTTGCTTCAAAAACCTCGGGAATCTCCTCTTTCCAGGCGTTAACATAATTATGGGACACCTTGTTCATAAATAAATATATGCGGGTGTGTGTTAGACCTGGCGTCGACGAAAATTCCGTTCGCATAAATGGAGTTCTACTGCACCGCGATTCTCCTCCGATCGGCTACCATCACGAGTCGGAGAATTGGAAAGGATTCGATAAGGCTAATTCAATGTTGTATTCATTTACATTTCTCAGAGTTGAAGGAGCGTTGCCAGAGCCACAAAGAGTGCGTCACGTCGACGTACAGGGACACGTTCTCGACGAAGCCGATGAACGTCGACTGCGTGAACGGTACGATTCTTTCTTCGATCGCATTGGCGAAGATCGAAGTGCGATGCAACCCTTGGCGACGAGTATTCGAGCAGCTTTCAACCCTTGCAAAGGCGACAGTCAGGTCAACTTTGACCCGGAATATTTAAATCGTTCTTAATTAATGAATTTTCGATAATTGAATAAAAGAAATTGCTGTTACATCAGGAACAACAGAGAGGCTATTGTTAAGTCTGCAAGAAATATCTTGAAAAATCAGTTTTGGGAAATTGCTGAAATAACGCTCGAAATTGTTATAAACAACGTCGATATTACAGTAGTGATCAGCGGTCCGCCATCCGAGGGTTGAAATGCGATCACTTCTTTAAAACTGGACTAAATCGCTTTTTGGAAATGTTGAAGGGACTGGTTTGCTGTGCAATGACTGATATGAATATTTTTTTTATTAATTTTACTATTATTCAGAGTGTCGAGAAAAAGGCAAAAAAAACTCTCTCCTGGAATTTTTGTAAACTGACGTCAAGAGATTTCAATGAAGTTTTCAGTAAGTGGACTGCGGATTTTAAACATTTATGATAAAAATGACAGGATAAAATACCAAAATGTAATTACACTATTTCTGTCATTTCGAGTAACAGCAAAATAAGGAGAAAAAGGTATCGCAGTCATTCTACGAGTGAACCAGTCCCCCGAACGTTTAATACAAATTCATTTAGCCCAGTTTGAAAAATATATGAAAAATTCCAGTTCGATTGCGTTTCGAAAGGTGTTCGAACACCTTCTATCTTCTACTAGGGATAGTATAAACGTTCGCACTCGTTTTTTTCCAGGCTACTGTCTCTGCGCACCGAACTACATCATGACGGAGGAGCTGCGCGACTGCATCGGCTACAGCGACAACGGTATACATAATTGCTATTCTATCGTTTAAAGCTAGATATTGCAACGGAGACTAGAATCTAATCGACTGCGTATGATTTACAGGTGTCGCGACAGTAAGCCCTTGGACGATAGTCTACCAGTTCCTGGCGATGGTAGTCCTAATGAGAATATCGACGTTTTGAACCTCCGCAAGGGTCTCCATGGACTTCGATAGTGCTTGCGCGAGAAGACGTATCGCTACCAAAGATAGAATCCATTTCCTCGATAGATTAATAATCCTAATCCGAAGCAGAGCTGAGCATTATTCGGATTGTCACCATTTAGTCGAACGTTTTATTCGAATTATTCCTTATTCGAATACCTTTCTATTCGAATAATTCCTTATTCGAATACTTTTTTACTCGAATAATTCCTTATTCGAATACTTTCTTATTCGAATAATTCCTTATTCGAATACTTTTTTACTCGAATTATTCCTTATTCGAATACTTTTTTACTCGAATAATTCCTTATTCGAATACCTTTCTATTCAAATAATTCCTTATTCGAATACTTTTTTACTCGAATAATTCCTTATTCGAATACTTTTTTACTCGAATAATTCCTTATTCGAATACCTTTCTATTCAAATAATTCCTTATTCGAATACTTTTTTACTCGAATAATTCCTTATTCGAATACTTTTTTATTCGAATAATTCCTTATTCGAATAATTCTTTATTCGAATAATTCGAAAAATTCTTTATTCGAATAATTCGAAAGATTCTTTATCCGAACAATTCGAGATAGTAATATGGAAGAAATAAAACGATAAATTAAGAGAACACTTTATATTCTATCATTCTTATTCAAATCAATTATTCCTGTACGAATAAATTCTTATTCGAATAGAATCTTATTCAAGTGAATTTTTATTCGAATAAAATTTTTTATTCGAATAAATTTGTAACTAGATAAATTTTGATTCGATTGAACATTGATTCCGATAAATTTGTACGTAGACAAATTTTTATTCGACCGAATATTTATTCGGCTAAATTTTTACCTGCACACATTCTCATTCGATTGAATATTGAACCGACTAAATTTTTTTTTATTCGATTGAATATTGATTCGGCTAGATTTGTATGTACATAAATTTTTATTCGATTGCATATTTGTCCGGCTAAATTTTTATGCAGATCAATTTTGATTCGATTGAATATTGATTCCGATAAATTTGTACGTAGACAAATTTTTATTCGACCGAATATTTATTCGACGAAATCTTTATCTGCCTAAATTCTCACATTCGATTGAATATTGATTCGGCTAAATTTTTATTCGATTGAATATTGATTCGACAACGTCGTACTGTATTCGTCGAGTCTTCATCTTTCATCCGAACAAAACGTTGCCCAACTCTGATTCGAATGCGACGATAAAATCTGAGTCAAGCACGAGCAGCAGGGACGAGATTCGATTTCGACGTGATATTCTTCCGTCTATCGCGTCAATCGTGGTCACTCGACAGCTCTCTGCACGCACGCTTGATCCAGGTGTTTTTTTCGTTCGCCGTTTTCATCGTTCCCGTGGTCATGTCTCTGTCCGAAAGTAATTTATATTTAAATACACGCGCGTCGACGCGAGCTCGCACGAGTTTTTCCTCAAGTCCCCCGCACGATTTTCCGGCGAATCGACGGCGACTTCCACTCCTCCTTGATCATATCGGCGGCCTTCTCGGCGATCATGTAGACCGGTGCGTTCGTGTGGCCGGACATCAGGGTCGGTATCACGCTGGCGTCCACCACGCGGAGGCCGTTCAACCCGTGGACCCGCAGCCTGTGGTCTACCACGCCCGCGTTCATCCTCGGGCCCATCTTGCACGTGCCCGCGAAGTGACCCAGGGTCGTGCTCACGTGACGGGCCACGCAGGCCCAGTACCGGTCGCTGCCGAACGGGACCTCCTTGCAGCCTGGGAACGCGACCGGCAACAGCGTCGCATTGAAACGTTTCAAGGGCCCCGCCGAGGCGATCTCTATAGCCTGAGGGCATCCGACAAACGGGCAGATTTTAGTATCTTTTCCTGTAATTGCTGCAGGAAACCGGGCGAGTCGTCCTGCTCCGGGACTCGCCTGCTTCCTGATGGAACTTCAAGGACGATCCCGGTGAAAAGCGATTAGGTTTCTCTAGCACCCGAGGATCTGGGCGTTAAAACGAGGCGCGTGGAGGTACGAGCGATGTGCAAAGAGAGCTTGAGTTTTGTCGGAAAAGTGGACCCGTTTGATTTTTGCACTGGGGGTGCCTCAGTTAGGACAAGTCGAAGGCTGGTTGTTGACGTGTCCAATAATTATTGGATTAGTGAATTGTTGTTATTAAATTGTTTAGAGTATAAAAAGCAGGGCTTGGGAGGAATTGATTTTTGATATAGTGAATATTATAGTTGAGTTAAATATATTAACTATGATATAGTTAATATTTTTATGTTCTCGTGTAATGCGGAATTCGAGGAATTGACTTTGTTTGAAATAGTCATTCGAATGCAATTTAGCGTCGCAGTGGTGTAAGTCACATTTTTTTACAGTGTAAGAAGCAAGAAGTGTTATTGCTTATTAATCACACGTATCGTTGACGGAACAAATTTAAGATCGTTCAGAGTTAAGTAAATTTATAGTAATTTCATGATTTATTTCACTTGTTCTTTTTTAGATTTTTACATGTACAGAGATAAGTCAAAAGATAAGTCAAAAGTTTTGAAGATGTCACTCACGTCACTGTGATTCCAACTCATTCACTATAGAAATAGCATTTCAAATATGTTTGAATTATGATATTATGTAATATCCGTATGTAACTACCATCATAAAAGAAGTTTATTCGCCGAATTCTGTATTACATGAGAAAATTCAAATATTTACTATATATTACGTATTTATTGTTAATATTTATTATATATATTATTATATATATTAAATAATATACTTATATATAGTATATTATATTACTATATAATAATTACTGTATAATATAACTACTATATTATATGTATATTGTATAGTATATTATATTATACTATATATTATACTACTATATAATAATTACTGTATAATATAACTACTATATTATATGTGTATTGTATAGTACATTATATTATACTATATATTATATATATTATATAATATATACTATATTTACTCGTATATAGTATATTATACTATTATATATCATATATTTATTATTAATATTCATTATATATATTATATACATTCATATATACTATATATTATTAATATTTACTATACTATACCAAAAATCGATTTCCCCTCAGCCCTGCTTAAATCTCTGCCACTTACATTGCGCTCCACGAGCACTCCTCGATTGATAACAAATTACTGAACGCGTCTGGACCAACTTCACCAAAGTTGCTATTCATACTACGTTATTCAACTATCACGGACAGTTCCTATTCACTAAAACCCCGGAGTGATCGATCGACACTTTTCCTGTCCACGATACCAAGAAGTTCTCGAACATCCTATACAGTGAATTCGCACTACCATTCGATACATCTCCGTCAAACCGTCGCGATAACAATGAGAATTGTCAAAGATGGTAATAGGAATCGGCGAGGACTAATAGAAGTCGCTTCACCCGTGACCTTCCAGCCCGAGCAGCCAGGGAATCTCCGGATCTGCACTATGCAGATGCCCGTGTACTCTGCTAAGGATGGTCCATATAAGGATCGCCGCGAGTTAATAGCTGCGGGAAAGGAAGTCTAGCTGCAAGTGGTGCGACCGACCACTCGGCGGAGCTGCCGCCGAGCCAAGGAGGCGAGCACTCACCTTCTTAATGCCACGAACGATCGTCTCGAGGTCGTCCCGGTGGTCGTAGTAGTTTATATCGAAAACGGGAGGGTCCAGTGGGTCGGCGGACCTCAAAGTCACTTGACCCCTGCTCTTCGGATGCAGAAGAACCGGGACGATCGAGAACGCGTCCAGCCCTTCGTAACCGGTGAACACGTCCCTGTAAAACTGTTCGGTCAGGCCTAGGGCGCTCCTGAAGCTGCCCGAGGTGTCCCCGGTTAACGAACTGATGCCCAACACCAGTTCAATGTCCGGGATCGACGTCTCCTTTCGTTTGTCCAAACCGGGCGAATAGCTCGAGTTCACCGCGACGGAGGACGCGTTTGGCGGCGAGGTGGCTGCGAGAAGAATCCGTCAGGTTATTCTGTTCCTACCGCTAAGGTTGCTTGGGGACTTCATTGGGACTTAAAAGGTAGCAGAGTCGGCTGGCTGCGCGAGGCTCTTACCATTTCGGGCGGCTCGAGAGGCCGCCTCTCGTCGCGGGTCCCGCTTCGTATCGACGAAAGCGACGGCCTCGGTGCCACCGGGGACCGTCAGGGGCCCGGTCCCCTTCACGAAGTAGTCGTAGGTGTTGGCCAGATTCGAGGCGAGCCGGGGCTCCACGATGGTCACGCTCTCGTTCACGAGAAAGGTCAGCAACGACATGCTCACGTGGTCCTGGAGATTGCGGCCGACCGGCAGATCCTCGATCACGTCGATCTTCAAGGCCTCGAGACGGTCTCTGGGCCCTATCCCGGACAGCATCAGCAGCTGCGGCGAGTTCAAGGCTCCTGAAGAAAACGCGAGCGTCACGGTCAGCCGGCGAACGAAACCGCGGAGCGATCGCGCGCGGATTCTTCCGCGCATTCTTTCGCGGTCACCTGCTGAAACTATTATCTCCTTCCGGGCCCTCGCGAACGATCGCCTGCCGTTCTTCAGGAACTCGACGCCCACGGCCGCCTTCCTTTTCCCGTCCACGACTATTCTCGTCGCTCTCGAGAACTTCGACAGATGGAAGTTCCGCCTGCCGCGGATCGGCCTCAGGAAGGCCTTGTTCGCGCTCACCCTGCGGCCGTTCCGCAGATGTACCTGCGCGGCCGAGAACCCGATCAGCCTGTCGGCGTTGTAATCGATTACGTCATAACCCAGTTCCTTGCCCGACCGGAGGAAACGTTCCCTCAGCGGGGAGACGTACGGAGAGGTCGTGACGTCCAGGTATCCGCCGTGACCATGGAATCTGATCGCAGAATTGGCCCCGATGTTACCTTCAGCCGATCGCTCGACATTAAACCGGCCGTCTATCGCGCCAATCCGGCCGACCTTCGGAGATCGACACCGTTTCGGCGCTCCGAAAACATCGACTTTGATCGATGACTAATCGAGAAGGTGACTAATCGAGCACGTGGACCGAGGGAATCGCGATGCTGTGGGAGAACGGGGCGCGACATCGAACTCTTTGGGAAATTCGTTCGCGGGAGACGACTCCATCCGATCTTCGAGCTGATCTCGAAGGCAGCTCGGAAATATTAGGTTGGTGCATACGAAATGTCGGATTTTCTTTATAAACGAACGTTTGTCTCCCTGTTTTCGTTATACAGTAATGTCTCCCTGATTGACGCCCAAATTATGCACAAAAATGGACAATTTGAAGAAATGGACAATACGATTATTCGAGCCTTGCAGCTCGTTTTTATAATTGTTGACAATCGGTAACTGTAACAAACGAGCCCCGAGGCTCGAATAATCGCGTCTCCTCTTCCCAAATTGTCCATTCTTGTGCAACATCTGAGCGTCGATTAGGGAGACTTTACTGTACTTTGATTAAACGTACAGAGCTTTTGAAGAAAGATACGCAGTACGGTAATGTCTCCCTTACTGACTGCATTAAAATCTCATTGAAGAAAGTGTATCGAAGCAAATGCATCATATTTTAACGAAATAAACACCTTCGAAACAAGATATGCAGTTTTATAAATTCACTTAACCCTTAGGGGACCAAAACAAGTCCAGACTGTTTTTCAGACGAAGAGAAGTTTCTTACTGAAAACATTTGTATCAAATATAGAGAAGAGATATTCACGTTTTAAATAAAACTTCGTTGATGTATTTTCATCGAAACAATCTCGTACCTGTTCTTCCAATGTTTCCTGCCAGATTTTACGGTTCTTTTTAATTCTGCCGCGCGTATGGCGGCATTATAATTATAAAATATTATATATTATATTTATACTATATATTATTTTATAATATAATATTATAAAATAATTATAATATATAATATATATTATTTTATAATATAATATTATAAAATAATTATAATATATAATATATATGATTATAATATATAAAATAATTAAATATCCTAGTCAAACTTGTGATATTCATGTTTGGCATGGAATTGTAGCAACGAGTCAGACTCGTGATATTCATGTTTGGCATGGAATTGTAGCAACGAGTCAGACTCGTGATATTCATGTTTGGCATGGAATTGTAGCAACGAGTCAGACTCGTGATATTCATGTTTGGCATGGAATTGTAGCAACGAGTCAGACTCGTGATATTCATGTTTGGCATGGAATTGTAGCAACGAGTCAGACTCGTGATATTCATGTTTGGCATGGAATTGTAGCAACGAGTCAGACTCGTGATATTCATGTTTGGCATGGAATTGTAGCAACGAGTCAGACTCGTGATATTCATGTTTGGCATGGAATTGTAGCAACGAGTCAGACTCGTGATATTCATGTTTGGCATGAAATTGTAGCACGATTCAGACTCGTGATATTCAATTTTGATCTGACTCGTGATGAAAATTTTGTGCCAAAATTGAATATCACGAGTCAGACTCGTGAAAGCAGCGCAAGGGATTAATTCCTATCGCGAACTCGATCGGAAGATGCACGCAACCGGGCAAAGGCGGGTACCTAAGATCTCGGTCCTGTAGCCTGCAGTTCTCCGACTTCCTGAAGTACGGCAGCACGTCCCGGTACCTCCACCCAGGATTGCCCTGAGCGGCCCAGTCGTCGTAGTCGTCCGGCGAGCCTCTCGAGTAGATCATGAAGTTGACAACCGAGCTGCCGCCGACCGCCCTGCCGCCGGGCAAGTTGCAGCGACCCTGGTTCATCGCGAGACAGTAGCGGCCGGGCTTCGGCTCGCTCCGGTGCATCCTGACGTAGTCGGTCACGTGGAGGAGAGGCGCGATCAGAGGGATGTCGGTGAGGAACATCTCGTCCTTGCCCTCTTCGAGCAGTAACACGCTCCAGTTCGGGTTCTCGGTGAGCCGATTCGCCAGGACAGAGCCGCCGGAACCGGCGCCGATCACTATGAAATCATACTCCCTGGACACTCCCGGCTCGTCCGGCACGGAGTCCTCCTGGGTCGCCGGGAACCCGGCGAACATTTGGTACACAGTGTCGAGCAGAGCAGGCGGCAGCAGGCTCTGCGTCTGCGAGATCAGCAGGGCGACGGCCAACGTCTTCAGCATGGCTGTCGTCGGTCGAAGCGGCTCGGTTTTCAATTCGCGACACGTCGATCCGTCGATCGGATCTCTGCGGTGTCCGTGGCGTCGATCGCACGAACCGTCGCGTCGCTCTTCGCACTAAACACCGGCGAAAGTGGGGCGGCGATCGAGATCGGAGCGAAGCGAAACGACCCGGGCACCCATCGCGCCCGACCACGGCGACCTTTATGGCCCGAGACTCGGTTTCGGCGGAATAGAATCGCCAGAAAGGAATCGGCCGGCGGCGGGAGGGACGCCTGGATTCCTCGATAACGTTCGCACACGATCAAGGTCTCGTGACGCAAGCCGAGACGCGGCCGAGGATATGCGAGACGAATGGCAATCGCCGCGGTGCCCGATTCGTCGATCGTACGAGACGATAGGCCGGATTAAATGGATCACTCGTGCACGGTGAATAGACAATAAGGGGTGTCTAGGAGGGAGACCCGAAATCGTGGGTCAATGTCAATGCCGGACGTGAAACCGGCGGGCCCACTTCCGGCAACTATGGCGAGCTGTGCTCCACTATTTCGATGCGTGCACAGGGTGCAATTGTGTAGGATTTTATAATAATCTCTTTAGCACGGTAGATAATTTTGATATCATAATTTATGATCTCGAAGTCTGTTATACTTTTACTTGAGTTTATGGCAATTCGTACATGAATTTAGTTTTTCCCATTGGTTTATGAATTTCACGATTTTTTATCATTTTATGTAGATATATTCTAGATTTAACTTTTTATTAGATTATGCAATTTTTAATTTGATTTATAGATTATTTACGAACGAATTCAGTTCTTATAAATTTATGTAGACATTTCACGATTTTGTATAATTTTACGTGGATTATTGCAAATTAAACTTTTTATTAGATTATATAATTGATTTAGAAATCATTTACAAACGAATTCAATTCTTATAAGTTTATTTAGTAATTTCACGATTTTATATAATTTGACGTAGACTTATTCCAGTTTAAACTTTTGGATTACTTGTTAGATTATATAATTTGTAATTCGATCATATAATTTGATTCATAAATTATTTACGAACGAGCTCAATTCTTATAAATTCACTTAGAACTGTCACGTTTTCATATAATGTCACGCGAGCTTTGTTATGAATTAACTAAACGCGATTTCACCGTAAAATTATTTACACATTTTGCATCTTTCGCACAGCTTTGTCGAGCGATCTTCCATTGGATCGTGCAATTTTAAATTTTATTATAATTTTATTCATAACGTTCTTCCAATTTGTAGCTTTATTCGTAACGATATTTAAATTTACAATTTTATTCATAACCCGTTTCTAATTTACAATTCGTCGTGTTTGTACAAAATCGTCCGGATGTCCCGTCGGTTCGACAAAGACACGGAAACTCCATCGATCCCCGCGAAGCACCCTCCCACCGGTCGTTTAACTTTTAATCCGACCGCGCGTTCTACTCGCCGAAAAATTCTGCACTCTGTTTGCGTTCTACGGTATCTCGAAATATCCCCGTTGTTTCCAATTTTATCGGCGTTGTTGCGAAACGTTGTTTCAGCTTTGCCAGGGTTACGGCCGCCGGTGCTATCCGGGAAATGGGATATCGATCAAATTTTGACAGGCCGAAGCGCATTTCTATGCAAATCCGATTCAAGAACCTCTACACCTGTTTTTCTGGCCGCGCCTCTGACGCAACCGTGGGTGCCGTTTACGGTGTTCGCCGCGACTCGTTAGCGCCTGGGAGCCGCTAACGAAACTGAAAACAAAACGTCCTAGTTAGCACGTCCGTTTAGCGAGCGTCGTTTCGCAAAGGAAGCTGCCGATTATCGGAGTCGGCCGCGAGCCGGCGGCGAGGATCCCGCGGACGCGCGAGTATCGCGCGCGATGACCGTCCCGACACTGGCGTGTGCCGTGCCGTGCATGCGAATCTCGGAAAATGCGAGATTTGATCAAGGTTTGATGAGCGAACGATGCGCAAGGTTGCGATATCGAGTACCTGTTCACGAAGTAGGGCGTCGACGGCGCGGCGCGGCGCGGCGCGCCTGTGATGTCATCGCGCGCAGCTCTCGCGTCTGCATGTCGTCGCGTTTTTCGCAAAGTGAAAGTTGCAGCGCAGCCTCTTGTTCATCGATCGGAATAGAATAAGATAAAACGCGCTTAATCGTCTCGGAATGCGAATCGCCGCGACAATTGATCGTCGTCTCGCCGGGGCGATTCCGTGAACATTCGCCGAACAGTGCGCGATGCATCGGATAAGTCTCCAGCGGAAACGGTGCGTGCTTTCCGACGCGGATCAATTTCGTCGCCCCGACGAGATATGTAACATTTTCGAGGATTTTTTTAAACGATCGAGGAGAGGGTGAGCGCGCAAGATCGAGCCGCGGATAGCCGCGTGGCCGACCACCTGGCGGTCGAAGGCGCGAACTAAGACGGCGCCTGATAGCAGGCAGGCTGGTTATCGCAGCTGCAACCGAGACGCGGTGTAAAAAATGCATCGCGTAAGTGCACGCCGGCATTAAACTGCTGTTTTATGGATACTACGAAAAATTCCTTTCTCACGTTTTACAGGAACGTGACGACGGGACACGGTGTTATCTTCGTCGATTCACACACAGCGGCGTCCGCTGCTCCGAGGGTACAAGGGCGCGTCGCACGCGCGAACGAGGGGGTCGAACGATATCGTTTTTCGGATGCAATAAGCGTCGCTATCCTATTTAATGAAGGAACAACTGTTGGACGTTAATAAACGACAATTTACGCGGGGCGGCGTGCAAGCACGAGCGGATCGAACGTGTCGACTCGGGGATGAATTTTAGTTCGCCGCCCTTCCCGACAGAGGGTCGCAGCGATATTCGGCACACGTTCGCGTTACCCGATACGAATACATAATTAAATAATTAACTAACTCGCAATTAATTTACTCTTAATCGAGTAATACATCATTTAAGCCGAGAGTCCCGTTACACCGGTTAAGGTGCATCCAGCTTCGATGCACCGGCGAGACAGACCGGTTGCGGGGCGCGATATTTTTCGGAAAAACGTGAATATATCAGGGGAACAGTCGAATCGAACTGGTTCGAGGGCCACTGAAATTCGAGACCGAAGGGTACGTTCAATTTATAAGTGAATAAATAAATTGATAAGTAAAGGACAAGTTAAATTACCGACGGGTTAAACACCCTTTGTTACGGCGAGAGAAAGGAATAATTAGTATGCAGATTTTATGCGTTTTACGGGAAAAATGAGTGAAAGTAATTTAATACGGTGGGCGGATTAAAATTAGCTAAGAGCGTTGTTGTATTGATTTCAAGCTATTGAAATGATCAAAGAAAAACACAATTGTGAAACGGTGGCTTAAAATAGAGGTTTCAAGCTTTAATTTAGAGGAAAAGTCATTATTCTACGATGATTTTTCGCGGAGTTATCGTCTGCCAAAGTTGGCCAATTTTTATCGAAAATTTTAATAAACTTTAAATTAAGAAAAAAAATTATTTCGACCAAGAAATCACGATTTCATTACTTTCTTCACTTAAATCGTTTTTTTTTGTGTTCGCGATTTATAAGGATTCCATACATTGCATTCTCTTACGAGTTGCAAAGCAATAATTCGAAAGGTATTTATATGTTGATAATTAATAATAAACTAAAGTTTAGGGATATTTTTGGATACAGTAAATACAGTAATCATATTAGGTTCATAAACTAGAATTTATACCGAAAATGAATCCTACTAGCCACAGTGATTGGCGCAAATTTTTATTGTTTAGTCTATGTGCGCCTATTATTGCGGTGCTTGAGGACCACGCGCCGCCGTAATTGGCACGCGTGGGAAAACAGCAACAAATATGCGCCAATTACGACGGCTAGTAGGATTGATTTACAGAATAAATTCTACTCGATGTACATAATTTTATTACTATGCGCTAAAATGAATAGTTTATCATTAATTACCAAAATATAAATGAAATAAAATATAAGGCTCGACGTTTTCACAAGTTTCCCAAAATATTCAGCAGAAATTTGCGTATGTACAAACTTCGTACCTCCTTCGGATACTTCGGATAGCGATTGGAAGTGAACGAATCAAATACTCCGGGTCAAAATTGACCCGGTCGTTGCCTTGCAAAGGCTGAAAGCTGCTCGGCTGCCGAGCCAACGAGCACACGGAAGCCACGAGTCGCATTTCCGCCGAGGAAAAAAATCACTTCGAATATAAAACTACATAAAAACGAGCCGCAGAGCTCGAATAATCGCATCTCCTCTTCCCAAACTGTCCAGTTTTGTGTACGATCTGAGCGTCAATTAGGGAGAATTTACCGTGAAATGGAACGAAGACTCATCTCGCGAGAAAAATGGAACTTTCGCCCGGTCCGATAATTAGATAGCGCCGAAGATCAGCGGATTACAGTTCCGTTTCGAGCGGCTGATTACGATCATCGACGTCTTCCCGAGAGAGTCGACAGTCGAAGTCTCCCAGGGAATCGACGAAGCGAAATCTTTTCTTGAGAAATCACCGAGCCCGCGGATCGGGATCGAAGCAAAGCGAAGAGTCTTTTAGCGATGAACGTTACGTAGATACGAGGCGAAGCCAGATACGATCGGGGTTATTTGGCCCGCTGTCTTTCACGGGGCTGCAGATAGGGGATGAACGGCAGTTTCTGGCTAGCGACGTCTCCGGGACGAGTCGGGGTGGAACCGTAGTCACGTTGAAGATCATAATCCTACGATTGTAGTCATAAACCTGCGAGCCCCGGCATGGGAAAAATCGTGCATCAAGAGGCGGGGACATCCAGGAGCTAGTTATCGAGCAGCCAACCGAATGCGCTCCATCTTCGGCGATCAGCCATTTAAATTCTCCCGGGACAAATTCAGATTACCTAGAAGGGAGGATAATAAAGCGGGCCGGTTTAAACAGCTCCAACTTGTGTCCATGTTGGGGAATCCAGATGAAATTAATGCATCGAGCGAGGGCGTCCGAGAGAAGGCAATTATTCAGCCCATTGTTCATCCGTTCGGTTCCTCCAGTTACAAATTCAGACAGATCGTCAACTGCAGAGAATAAAAGAGACCAGTTGAAACAGCTTCAACTTGTATCCTCGTCAGAGCATCCAGATTGTGAGCTAATACACGCAGCGAGGACATCCAAAAGCTGGTTATGAAGCAGCCAACTACAGATCCCCTATCTCCGCTGATCATCTATTCGCTTTCTCTGGGTACAAGTTCAGGCAGATCATCTGCATTAGAGAACAAAGCAGACTAGTTTAAGCAGCTCCAAGTTCTGCTCACGTTAGAGTGTCCAGATTGAACTGATGCATGGGCCGAGGACATCCAAGAGCTAGTTATCGAGAAGGCTACCACAGATACCCTATCTGCACTGTTCATCGGTTTGTTTCCTCAGACGTACAAATTCAGACAGATTACCACACCACCAGATGACAAAACAGACTGGATTAAACAGCTCCCACTTGTGTCCACGTTAGAGCGTCCAGAGTAAACTAATGCATGGGGCGAGGACATCCAACGGCTAGCTAAGAAGCAGCAAACTGCAGACATCCTACTCGAACAGTTAATCCATTCGCTTCCTCTGGCTACAAGCTCGGACAAATTACCTACGTTGGACACAATAAAACAGGCAGGTTTAAATTGTTCCCACTTGTGTCCGCGTAAGAGCATCCGGATTAAGCTAATGTATGGGGCGGGGTTAAATCCAAGAGCTATTTATCGAGGAGGCAACCAGATATGCCCTGTCCCCATCGGTCATCGATTTGCTTACACTAAGGACAAATTGAGACACAGCAGCTTTGGATAGAACTGGGCAAAGTAAGGAGTCTTGCTAAGGCTACTCGGTTGGCAACACTTCCCTCGGTTCTAGTCAAATCCAGCAACTTCCATTGCAACCGGGGGATAAGTTGCTCCACTTTGACCAAACCAGTGCAGTTTGTTCTTTATCTTACTTAAGCTCAGTGTTACTACAAAGTAGCCTTAGCAAGAGTCGTTAGTCTTCCCGGTTCTATACAAATCCAGGACCTTATACATCGCAACTCTGTCATCCTTGGAATATCTAAGTGGGGATACTTTGATCAAACGGGTGCCTTTTGCTTTTCATTTTAGTCTCAGTAGCAGTGCTAAATAACTTTAGCAAGATTCCATACTTTCTCCACTTCTAGACAGATCCAGCACCTTTAATCGCAGTCCTGGGATGAGTTGGTCCACTTTGACCAAACCAGTGCAGTTTGTTCTTTATCTTACTTAAGCTCAGTGTTACTACAAAGTAGCCTTAGCAAGAGTCGTTAGTCTTCCCGGTTCTAGACAAATCCAGGACCTTATACATCGCAACTCTGTCATCCTTGGAATATCTAAGTGGGGATACTTTGATCAAACGGGTCCCTTTTGCTTTTTATTTTAGTCTTAGTATCACTGCTAAATAGTTTCAGCAGGACTTTGTACTTCCTTCATTTCTAGACGGATCCAGCACCTTTAATCGCAGCCCTGCGATAAGTTGGTCCACTTTGACCAAACCAGTGCAGTTTGTTCTTTATCTTACTTAAGCTCAGTGTTACCTCAAAGTAGCCTTAGCAGGACTCCTTAATTTTCCCGGCTCTAGCTAAAGCCAGGACCTTACATCTTCACCCTGTCATCCTTGGAATATGTAAATGGGAATTCTTTGATCAAACGGGTCTCCTTTGCTTTTCATTTCAGTCTTAGCATCACTGCTAAATAGCTTCAGCATGACTTCCCTGGTACTTCAGCAGGTACTTCCCTCGGTTCTAGTCAGAACCAGCACCTTTAATCGCAGCTCTGGGCTACATTGGAACACTCTGACCAAACCAGTTTCGTTTGTTCTTTATCTCAATCTTAATACCACTACTAACAATAAGCAACCTTGCCAAGACTCTCTCGACTTCCAGTCAAATCCAGCAGCTTCCATCTCAACCCTGTTGTAATATGTAACTAGGAATACTCTGATCAGACCAGTCCCGTTTGCTCTTTATCTTAGGCTTAGCATCGCTACTAAGTAGCCTTAGCAAGGCTGCATATTCTCCCGACCTCCAGCCAAATCCAGCACCTTCCGTCGCCCGACCTGCGACTAAGTAGGACCACTTTGATCAAACCAGTCTCTCTCTCTCTCTCTCTCGTCTTCTGTCTCGGCCTCAGCATGACCGCTAAGTAGCCCTCGGCATGGCTCCTTATTTTCCCCACTTGCAGCCAAATCCGGCAGCTTTCGCCGGAATCCCGCGTCTGCTCCACATTAGAGTACCCGGAGCGTTAGCACGGTGCTTAAACAAACCCAAAAGGATTGTCCACCGCGTAACCCGGTTGCGCGTTGTTTACCGAAAGAGGAGCCCGGCCTGGCGTGGTCTCTCGAGGCCGAGGACACTCGCGTGCTGCGAGGCGCGGGTTGAACAGCTATTGCGAGCGTGTTCGGTGTGTCTCGGGGCTGTTCCGGCGAGACGTACGACAGGAGGCGAGGCTAAATCGAGCGACATTCCTCGGCGGGGTCTTGCTCGCCGTGGCAGACGGCACGAGCCGAGTCGGGCCGGGTCGGGTCGCGTCGCGTCGCGTCGAGTCGAGTCGAGCCGAGTCGAGTCCGGTCGAGCTTGGAGTCGCTCGAAAACTTGCGGCAGAGAGAATATCGAATGCCCATCGCTAGTCGGTACACGCGAAGTAGAGCACGTCGACGGTGGGTACACAGGGGTGAAGGAGCGAGGGTGGCGTCAAGGCGCACGCTCGGAAGGGCGGAGGAGGATCGTGTGGGGGGGCATGGGGTGGCTGGCAGTTCGGAGGTCTGTCAGGGGTGGGCTGTCAGTTTACCGGACGACCGTGTGAGCGCGCTGCCGCGCAGGACCAGCCCTCCATTCGCGCTGCATCCGGCGAACGTGACCGCTCGGTCGCGGTCGATCCTCCACCGCCGCGAGTCCCTCGGGCTTCTCGGCCCGATCTTTCTGGGCCGATCAGGATTTAAAGACTGGCCCGCGCCGATCCGCGTTCAGTCGCCGCGACCGCCGCGGTAATCCTCTCGCGATCCGCTCGCGATCAGCCAGCGCTCTGCCAGCCGCCGCGCCGTGTGCAGCGCCCCGTGGCCCTCGTCCTCTCCTCTCGCGACTTTTTTTTCGGGAAGCAGGCTCGGAGAGGACCGGCCCCGGGGCCATGGTCCCCCGTGATCGTACCGCGGCAGACGACGCGGCAACTCGACCGCCTATCGACCGCCCTCACTGACCGGTCCGTATTTCGCTCTTTCCGACCTCTCGCACGCCGCCTCCATCTCTAGATCATCCTCTCTCTCGCCGTCGATCTGCGAACTTTCACGCGACCAGCGAGACGGCCGATCGCACGAGTTTTAAAGAGAACCAGCCGGGGGAGAGTGTCCGAGAGACTGTGCCTCTGAAAACGGATCCAAAGAGAGGGAGAGAAATAGTTAGATAGATAGAGAGGGAGGGGGGAGAGAGGGGACGACAGTGCGCGGTGTATTACATTTTGTGGATGGTATCGTGAGCCAGCAGCACAGCGATGGGGGTGGCGACCAGTATATCAGACGTTCTCACCGCGAGAAGTCCGCCGGGAAGATAATGCAGATAAATGCCTCCGGAGGAAAGGGAGAAGAACACGAGACCAGGATTACACGCTGTCAGGTAAGCGGCCCGTTTCTTTATTTACTCGTTCGAATCACGTCGCTCCCACCCCTTCTCTCTCTCTCTCTCTCTCTCTCTCTCTTTCTCCCTCCGACGGCCACCACGGAATAGATTACCTTGTGTCGTTCCACGTTAATTATTCATACCGGCGACGCTGACGCACACAGAGACGACGCGCCACGACGTTTCAAAGGACCCGACACACTTCGAACGGAATCAAACGCTTCGATCGCTATCCGTCTATGCCCCCGGGGAAAAAGGACGATCGGCCGTTTCCTCGTGCCGACGAGCCCCTCCGATGCCCCCGGGGTACACCCTGCTGCTACCTCTAATCTTGTATCGCGGGACACCCCGAGACCCCGAGGTAATCGAGGCGTCGCGAGGTCGTAAGATCTTGAATCTGGGATTGCGTTCTTGCTTCCGGAGGACGCGGGGCCTGTTTACGACGGCACGTCCGGGGGCCCGTAAGCTGCCGAGCCAGTTGCATCCGCGATCAAGCATCGACGTCGGCTCGCGACACTCGGCAATCTTGCGGCTCGACCTTTGACCCTTTGCAGTCCGGTTTATAATTCGTTGATTCGCGTTGTATCTGATGTCGAGGTTTATGGACACGTTGATGGTAGTAAGAAGAAACGTTGATTTTATTAGCGTAGGTTATACCTTTGTTATCACCATTATTCCATTGGTTACGTGTAAACAAATACGGTGGCTCAGGAAAGTGTTCGTACGCGTTTTAAAATGTAATACATTTTTTGAAACTGGACCAGGTGACTTTAATTTTGTTTAGATGATACTGGGACTAGTATACTAGACAATGACCAAAATGTTCTTCTTTCTTTTTTAATTATAATTAAAAATTTTAATTTTAAGTTTACGACAAAAAGGAACGTAGAAAACTCTCGTTTTTTAATCTTTTTGTCCTGAGCTTGTAACAAAAATTTAAGAAATGCCTCTCGTTGATCTCAGATACTTATGTATGCGTTTCTCATTTTTCTCTATCGTTCCAAACAATAGCAAAATTTCAAAAAGACATTTTGCTCATTACAAAAAACCATATAAAAAAAGTTCAACTCACTTAGTCCAGTCTCAAAAAAGTTATCGCGTCTTACAAGGTGTACGAACACTTTTGCGACCCAGTGTATGTCTCGACAGCCTCCAAAGGGTTAACTCCGGGTTCCTCGCGTACCTTCCGACGACGTCCGACCGAATGGGAAAGCTTGCTGCGGCAATGTGACCGACGGCCGAAAGATTCCGGAGGCCCGAAACGGACCGAATCGCCGCGCGGAATAATTGATTCGGCGGTCTGTTCTCTCGGCCGAAGAAGAGCGGCATTTTATGGAAATAAGGCGGGAGGGTTGCTCGTCCGCGCCGGCAAAGGGTTGAGAAGCACTGCGACGAATACAGCGAGAGCAGAGCAGTGTTATCGCGGAGGGCCAGCCGCGGCTGAAAAAGCGATCGAAAAAATGTGTGTTCTCCGGTTTGCGGGGACGCGGGTTCGAGCATCGCCACGGCCAAGGAGAGCTTCTGTTTACCATCGGGTGCCGCGTTCGGACGTTTCGGATTTCCAGGCCGCGTTCCGTCGCACGGCCAACGAATTACCCGTTGGGTCAACGTTCCGACGTAATCGCGAGCCTCGGTTTCGTGAACGGGAACAGTAAAGTATGCGGAACCGCTGCTCCTTTCGCGCTCGCCGTGCCGCTGGCCGCAGCGTTGCCCTCCCCGGGGCGAGATAAACGAAAGCACGGAGGCAACAATAACGTCGCGAGCTTTGTGCGGAATCGCGGCCTGGCATCGTCGATCGACCGATCTCTCTCTCTCTCTCTCTCTCTCTCTCTCTCTCTTCTTTCTTTCTCTCCCACTCTCTCGGCGAGACCGCGCGACCCTAACCCCGATTCAAGGTTTCGTTAGATTTGTTTTTTATTCCACCCCCTGTGACGGAGCTCTTTTCTTCGGCGAAGGACGCGCGCGAGTCGGCTAGCACCGTGATTCCATTATTCACGAAACACGGTGGATATGGTTGTTAAGTATACCTTTACATCGCGGCCGGGGCTCTGTCGGGCCGCGTTACAATGCGCCGAGAGGAGGGAGCACAGCCCGGTTGTACAGAGAGCACGGCTCCGAAACACGTAAAACGAAACAACAGCCCGTATAATTAGTTACCATTAAACCAGGCGCGCTTTGATTCGTCTAGCTGGCAACTAGCGAGCCACTTCGGAGCGCGCGCACTTCCTACGCGGAACTTGTTACTACCCTGCGTTCCCTCGAATTCGGTCGCGGCACGATATAACCGCGGATTTTATGCGTTCGCGGCGTAAACGAGTGTTCGTGATTTAAAACAGTGGGAAACGGCCGAGGGAAACGAGGAGAATGTCGATGTGACGGCTCGCGGGCTCGCTGAAAATTGTTACGGGAAGGAGAACGTGGTTAGAGGAAGGATCGAATGATTAGAGGAAAGAGCAAATGATTAAAGAAAAGAGCAAATGATTAAAGAAAGGAATAAATAATTGAAGATGGGAGCAAATGATTAAAGAAAAGAGCAAATGATTAAAGAAAGGAATAAATAATTGAAGATGGGAACAAATGATTAAAGAAAAGAGCAAATGATTAAAGAAAGGAATAAATAATTGAAGATGGGATCAAATGATTAAAGAAAAGAGCAAATGATTAAAGAAAGGAATAAATAATTGAAGATGGGAACAAATGATTAAAGAAAAGAGCAAATGATTAAAGAAAGGAACAAATGATTAAATATAGAATCGAATGATTAAAGAAAAGAAAAAAATAATTGAAGAACAGAGCAGATGATTAAAGAAAGGAACAAATGATTAAATACAGAATCGAATGATTAAAGAAAGGAAAAAATGATTGAAGACCAGAGCAAATGATTAAAGAAAATAACAAATGATTGAAGAAAAGAACAAATGATTAAGTAAAGGATCAAATGATTAAAGAACAGAATAAATGATTAAAGAAAGGAACAAATGATTGAAGAAAATAACAAATGATTAAATTAAGGAACAAATGATTAATGAACAGAGGAAATGATTGAAGAAAATAATAAATAATTAAAGAAAGGGACAAATGTTTAAAGAACAAGGCAAATGATTGAAGAAAATAACAAATGATTAAACAAAGAAACAAATGATTGAGTATAGGTTTAAATAATTAAAGAAGGAATAAATGATTAAAGGAAAGAGCAAACGATTGAAGAACAATGGAAATGATTAAAGAAAGGAAAGGCGTGCTTCGCTCCTACGGCTCGCAGTTTAGATACACAATTTTTATTTTGCGTAAAGATCCACAGTTTAAAGTTTACAATATAACACTGCGTCTTGTAAATATAAAACCATCGAAAAATTTGCAGTTTTTATGCATTGTAGTAGCTAATATAACAATTAGGTTGCAACTCTCGTGTAAAATAAAAATCATCCAAGTTAATTGTAAGACATATATAAATTAATTAGCAAGTTCTTTAGTCCTTCAATAACTTTAACAGATTACAAATAAATTAAGATATTATTAAATATAAGATAGGTTATGTTTTGGCCGTACATGAAAGTTATACAATGTGATCTTTAATTATCAATTTCATATTAATTGCATGGCGAGTTGTGAAGAAGAAATCAACGGAGCTATTTGCACGAGTTGGTTGTACATGAAAGTTATAACGTGATCTTTAATTATCAGTTTCCCCGTTAAGTTGCAGGGAAGAAATCAACCGATTCCTTAAAACGTTTAACCGTCGCCAATAGTTGCTTCGACACAGAATTGTAGCAAGGAATGTTAACGTTTCGTTCTGTTCTGATGCTTCCCCATATCTGTTCTGCTCAGTTTGTTGCTGTTAAGATGATTGGATGTAGCTTAAACGGAAGACTGGCTCACGGATAAGTGACCCGTTGAAAACGTTTCGGGACGGGGGGGGGGGGGCACTGAATAAAACACAAAGATCGCAAACTTCGCGATGCTTCGAAACTCTTCGGTGAAAGTTTAATTACCGAAGTAGATAACGTCTGAATCCTGGATGCTGTTTAAAGGCGAATAGGAGTTTAGAGCAGATGCTCCGTTTAGAGCAGACAACAATGCTCTTACCTCCAGCCCCAAAGAGTCGGATAACGTCTTAACTCTAGGGCGACCCCCTCCTATTTTTCGGCGCAAGTCAAATCAAATCAAATCAAATCTTATTTATATTATCTTCAACATGTAATAAAACCTTTTATATATATTATTATTATTGTTGTTGTTGTTATAAGTTATATATTACTATTATTATATGTTATATATTACTATTATACTTTATATATTATAGGTAATAATTAAACGGTATGATTATATATTTTTATTAGTATTATTATTGTTATAAGGTATATATTACTATTATAATATGTTATATATTATAATTATTATGCGTTATATATTATAGGTAATAATTAAACGGTACGATTATATATTATTATTGCTATTATTATGTGTTACATATTATAGATAATATTTAAAACGGTATGGTTAAAAATTTGGTGGAGTTGTCGACAAACTCCGGGGGTTGTTTTAGGGTTAACAATTGGCCGGCGGGCCTTCTTAACAAAACTATAACTTAGTATGCTCAGGATCACTTATAATCTTATTTACACATTTTTGCAACATATTTTAGTTAACGCGCTGCTTCTATGCACGTTAGTTTTGCTATAAACCTTGATGAAACACGTGAGAACCTAAATTAACCCCTCAACGAAGACATATACTTTTCACACGTAGATGTGAAAATATCTTAAACATTATAACGTTAATTCTCTAACATTAATGTAACAAATTAAATAAAATTAAAAATTAAATAACCTTATTATCATATAAATACATTAACACAAAATTATAAGATACCATTTGTTATTGAATATATGGTACAATTGCAATCAATTATTTTGCACTCGACCAGCTATCCCGAGGGATTAATTATCAAGAAAAAGAACTAGATAGTCGGATAACAAGATTTACAGTCCGGTTCC